CCCCACAGAGTTGTCCTAAGAATGAAATTGGGCAGGTGCTTATAAAGCGCAACAGCAGGGTTAGGCAAACACTACATCCTCTGTACATTTTTCCTTTCCTTTTTTTTTCCCCCCCTTTTCTGTGTTCGTAGCAGGCACCGGCCATGGAGCAATGTGTCTGAGAAATCCTGAGTGTTGGGGGGCTGCCAGGGAAATGTCATCTACAGATTCACTTCCCCAGCGAAGAAGTAAGAAAGATGCTCATTGGCAGGAACTCAGGAAACCAACCCTAAATGGGCTATGGAGAAAGAAGTTTCCATATACAAGACCAGCCTCGACTGAAGGGGCTGTCCTTTCTCTTTCCCCAGGGTGACTTCCCCATCTGTCACATGGGGGGTGACACTGGGCTAAGCTGCTTGCCGGCCTGCGGCATCTGCCCAGGGGCGCAGAGCACAGAGTGAGGAACCGTCTCAGGGGGAGGCAGGGAGCCGGTCCACGGGGTCCTCACCTCCCAGCCACCAGACACCCTCTGGACTCAGGGCCTGGATGAGAAATGTGTCTGGGGCATCCCGGAGCCCCGAGCCCCACGGGCCTTCCTCTTCCAACAGAGGACCAGCCTCCCTTGCACGGATAATCCCCCGACTGGCTCCTGCCGTCCTCGAGCTAATGAGGTGTGCAATTCAAGTTCAAGGTGGACGGGCCCAGTCCCCAGACTGACTCCGTGGCTGGCTGACCCAGAGCCACGAACAGATGAGAAACGGACAGAGACACTCGTGTAGTCACTTGGTCTAAAGTTCAGACCTAGACATTGATTTTTTTTTAAAATGTCAAGTCCCATGGCAAGAAACGTCTTTGACCCATTCCATGGAAACGGCTCACATTCACCTCATTCTGCTCTAGACACGTTCTGGAAGGTCACACACAGCACAGCCGGCCGGCACCCCAAGCAGCAGGGCCTGGGGAGGCTTGGTCCCCAGTGTCCTTGCTGCTCTCCGCCTGTGGCTTCCAGGTCTCAGCCTTGATTTCCCCTGGCTGAAAGTGGGGGCAGCATGGGCTTAATGTTTTATTAATAAGCTTGTAATTTGGGGGCACCTGGGTGGCTCAGCGGTTGAGCGTCTGCCTTGGGCTCAGGTCGTGATCCTGGGGTCCTGGGATAGAGTCCCACATGGGGGTCCCCGCAGGGAGCCTGCTTCTGCCTCTGTCTCTCATGAATAAATAAGTAAAGATTTTATTAAAGATTTAATCTTTAATAAAGATTTTATTTTATTATAAATAAAATCTTTAAAAAAATAGGCTTATAATTTTGAAATAATTTTAGATTCACAGAAAAAGTTGCCAGGATAGTACAGAGTTCCTCAGTCAAGTTTGCTCCAATGTTGCCACTCTGCATTTCCGTGGTACATTTGTCACAACGGAAGAAACCCACACTGGCACATTATTATCAATTAAACGCCAGACCGTGTTTAGCTTTCACTCATTTTCCCATTAATATCTTTTTTTTTTCCTGTTCCAGGATACCACACAGCATTTAAGACTAAATAAAGAGTTTAGAAAGTTTAAAAAGTGCCCTCCCAGTTCTAAAAACAAAAGGACAATAGGCCCTAAGCGCTCTGGGTGTGTTAATTAGCAAATGAAAGCTGTGCTGTGTGACTTTGGGCCAATCCCTTACCTTCTCTGAACCTCCAGCTCTGTCAAAGGGGGAGAATGGCCACACTCCTTTATAGGGGTGCGGGAGGTAATCCTTCGCTAATTCATGGGACGCACTCCACCTGGCTCGCAGTGCACCCCGAGCCCTCTGTTGATACATCTCAGCCGGTAGAAACCATAGCCTGGAACCGGGGCCAATCCAGCACACTTGATACTTTCCTGCAAAAAACTCTCCCAGCAAAATGCCAGCTCCCAAAAGAAGCCACTGTGTCGCTGGTCTAGCGCACCAGACCCAATCTGCAAAGCACAGGACAGGACCGGACCAAGACCTGCAGTTACCAGGCCAGGGTTGGAGTCCGCCCCTCTCCTCACTCGCTGCGGGCCCTTGGGCGGACAGTCCAGTGTCTGGGCCTCAGCAGCCACATCTGTTCAATGGGAACAAATCACCCACCTCGCAGGGATGCTGAGAAGATAGAATGAGGTCCGTGCCATAACACCTCCAGGAAGACTGAGGTGGGGTGTTGGCTACATCCTGCCCTTGTACCTCTTCTAGGAACCCCTAAGTCCTTGACTGCAGTTGGGGTCATTACAGAAAACCTGTTAGGGGCGGTTCAGCGTGGTTGATAATGACATCCTGCTCCTCTCTTTTTTTTGGGGGGGGGTGATTCACTAAACCCTTGCCCTCTTTTTCCCAGCCAAAGCCCTGTTGACCAGCCGATTCCATAATCTTCATTCCCGCAATGCCCCTCTTTGCCCAGGGTGGAATTAGACAAGGAACCCAGGCACCATGCTGCGCTGTTTTAAAAGGAAGCACAAGACTAGCCCCACGCACGGTCAGTCCAAGGAAGATGGCTATGGGACTTATTTGCACAGAATCGCATCATCATTCTGTTCTCCCACAACGGCAGCGGAAGGGACGGAAGAAATCCATCAAGGAATATCACTCCCGTTGATAGATGAATAAGAACCACTGTGGCAGACACCTCGGTCACAAGCTTTCTGTTTTCTTGCTTGTGGCTCTCTGAGCTGCTGGAAGACATCCACCCCACCCATCCATCCACCCACCCATCCACCCACCCATCCATCCACCCATCCATCCATCCATCCATCCATCCATCCATCCATCCATGTTGGCACTGGACGCCCTCCTTGTGGTAAGCACTGTGCAGGGTGCTGGGGAGCCAGGGGTTGAGTACTACTATCACAGTCCCTGACCCCATGCAGCTAGGACTGCTAGCTGGGTCATCCGTTTCCCAAGGGTCTGTGGTGCCTGGCACATGGTGGGGGCACGGTGTTTATTCAGTCGTCTATCTCTCATCCTGCGTAATGCTCCCACCTTTATGACTGAGGTACTGGGTCTTTTCTAAGAGGTTAACTGGGACAAAGCCTCAGTGTTTGTATTTATCTCAAACCACCTTCTCCAATCACCATCTGCCGGAAGCCTTTTTGCTGCAGTGGGCAGAAACAAAAGACAACACCGAGCAAGGAGTCTAAAGACCCGAGTTCAAGTCCCAGCTCCAAGTGGCTTAACCCTGAGTAGCTACTGAAAAACACCTGCGACTCTGTTTTCTCGTCTACAAAATGGAGCAAATAATATCTGGCTTGCCAGATTCACCCAGCTGCTGTGAAGAGAAGAGGGGAGCGGGGAGGGAAAGAGTAAAACTTCTAGAAAGTATGCCATGAATACAAGGTGATCGAGGTATTACTTGCATGATTTACTCCAATGACAAATAGGTTGAGGACACAACGGGAAATAGAAGCGATCAACTTTCCAGCCAAAGGCTCACACACCCTCGTTCCAAACTTCTAGAATGTAACTGGGTGAAATTGCCCCAGATTTGTTCCTACCTTGGAAGAGATTACATTTATGTATCTGTGGCATCACATGCCATCCCAGCCAATCCTGACCCATATCTCTCTCCATTTGGTGCATGTAACAACAGTACTAAGAGGTGTTGTAACCTTAATTGCTTGCAAAGTGTTTTGAAATCCTTAGATTAAAAAGCTCAGTGAAGTCCAAAGTATTAGCCTTCTGTATGCCCAAGGAGTTACGTGGAGCCTCGCCCAGATGCGTTGGAACAAGGGGACAAGACATTGCATATTCTGAGGTCCCAGGAACTTTGGGCTTTAAGAGTTCTATTCGTGGGATGACCCTAGACCAACCCCCAGCTTCCCAGTTTCTAAGCTACTCGGGCATTTTGACCATCCCCACCCCCACCCCCACCCACCCACCCAGCTGCTTCTGATGTGCTTTTTTCCATTTATTTTAAGGTCCTGGGTCACGAGGCCTGAGTTGCAATTTATTTTGGTGTCATAGGTCTGCTTTCCTGGGTGACCTCAGCCTGAGTCCTAGAAAAAGGCAGTTGTGTCATCTGGGACTTCTGTCTGCCTCTTCATTTAAACCCAGAGTTGATTTATTCCATTCTAATTTTTATCGTGAAAAGGAGTTAAAATTCTCCCCCACGAGAGTGACCCTCGGAGGGGGTGTCAGACAGGGCCGGGAAGGGACCCGAGGCTGGTCCCGGGATCCTGGCAGTGTTTTGCATTCTGGATCCTGCTGCTGGCCATGCCAGTGCCTTCCAGCGTTGGCTTTGTGAAAATTCAGAGCTGAACACTTTTCTGTGCATTTTTCTGTATATTCGTTACACTTGACAATGTAAAGGGTTTTTTTTAAATCACTCTCGATGCTAATTTACTTGGCTTAGAATAGATTCTGATGTAACCGTGAAGCTATAAACCTAATTATATCAAAATCCTTGCTTTCTCTTTACCTTTGTGATTCAAAATAATGTCGCTTTAGTTTTTCCTTCCTTTATTTCCACTTACAGGACAGAAGGAAATGCCTCAATTAGCCTTTTTAAATTAAATCCAATGCAGGGTGTGGAGGGTGGGGGAACCTCATTCTCAGCAGGAAGCCCCGGATGCCCTCAGGGACACATGCAGACTTCTAACTGTAACAAAACTCTGTGGGATTTGCCGGAGTCCCCTGTTCTAAGTGGCCATAGCTTTCATCAAATTCTCAAGGGTCCCTGACCTAAAAAAGACCCAGAGCCGGAGGGTTTGTTCCATTGCTTCTCTCCACATGTTTCTCAGCTCTGCACCAACCCACAGCCCTCACCAACTCATTTCACTAAGCTGGCTTCACCCATCAGAATGAATTTGCCCACTTCAGTGGAAAAAAGTGAATGGGCTCAACCCTTCCAAAGGTCATACATCATCATCATCATCATCATCATCATCATCATCAACATCATGTTTGCTTCTGGGTTTCCCCTGTGATATTCCAAACCCGGAGGCCGGAGACCTCTGCATCCCCCGCATGAGACCGCACAAGGCAGAGGCAGACTGGACTCCGAAGAAATTCACCGCGCCTATTTACGAAACCAGATTTATTAAAATTTCTCTACAAGTCAGAAACGGTCGTCTCACTGTTCACATATATACACATGTACAGGAAGGATCTAGTGTTTCGAGCTTTCCCGGCAGAAGCCCCAGCCAGCCCAGGAGTCCTCCGCCGGGTAATGTATCACAGATACAACAGTCGAGCAACCACGAGCGCATTGAATATGACAGAGGGCCTCTGTCCTCCCTCTTCTCCGAGTCCCATGATTCTGTCAAGGTCATATTGCCGATAATCATTCACATTTCACGTGGCTTTAGACACGCAGGTTATTCAGACAGACACAGACAACAAAACAAGCCTTAGAACCAAAACGACAAAAACGTAGTATCGGACAATAGGTATAAAAGGTAAAATATATATACAAAGTACACAGTACGTGAGGTATACACAGCATTCTCACAATGCATGTTAGTTGTTTGCCTAGGCGTAGCCCTTAAAAGATGACTGCCTGCTTTTTTGTGCCATTGTTCAAAATACAGTATGTTTGGTTTACCCGTTTAACCACCTGATTTCAGTACTGAGACACTTACTGGTATTTCGTGGGTTCTTGGATTTTAATGCGAGTTGGTTTTCTCTGTTAAGCTCTAGCTTTTGTAGGTAGTGAGCTCCCCATCTCTGGAAGCATTCAAGCAGGTGCTGCATTCCCACCTGAAGGAGGCTGAAGGGAGGAGAGGCGGGGAGGATTTCTGCTTTGGGAGGTGGCAGAAAGAGGACAAAGGCTGGACTACATTAAAGTCTCTCCCAACTTTAAAGATTTGGGGCCCTTTCACTCTAGATGTCGATCATAGAGATGTATTCGTAAACCACGCCAAATTTGAAATACGAACAACCCATCATGCAAAATGCAGCCACACACACAATGCCAGAGGCAGACCATACCCATGAGGGGTTAAAGTACAATCCTGGAAGTGGGTCTGAGAATCATCTAAGTCTATCCAAAATTCACTTTCTCTTAAAGCACAGAGATGTTTGACATTCACTCTCGGGAGAGGCGTGGAGGGCCTCTCCTTATCTTTCTCCTCCTAGACAGAATGTTCCACCCTGAGATGGTCTTGGGAACAAAGGGTAAACTGCTGACCCAACAGAGCTAACGGTTTCCAAGTGCTCAAATTGACTTTAAACAATCTCCAAGTCCCTCAGTCTGAGCTCAGAGTTTCTGAAGCAGCCAGGAGTTCAAATCTTTTGTGATACTTCTCCACGGTTAGCTGGTAAGTGCTTGGAGAGCAGAGAAGGAGCCGTTTCAAGGTCAGAAGGAAGGCATTAGTGCAAATGAGGTCTTGGCAGGAAATGGAGGAGAGCGTCTGGGTTCGTGGTGCAGGCTCCTCTGCTCCTCAAAAAGTCCGCTCAGACGTGGGGGGGGGGGGCGGGGGGGGGCAGGGTCACTGGGAGAGGTGAGTGTGAAGGAAGGGTGCGTGTTAAACCAAACCAAACCAAGAACTTTCCAAGAGAGAAGCTGGGGGAGCGACAGTCTAGCTCCCAGAGACAAGGTCAAAGATGGCAGGTTTATTGGCCAACGTGATTTGTCACCCTGTTAAACTATGGTTATTGCCCAAAACGCCACTGTGCGACTCACTTCCTCTCCCTTTAAAATGTTCACATCCATTTCACTTGGCCACACGCTGTAGGATATCCATACTCTTTGCCACCCCTGAAGACGCAGAAACCCCCACCCCCACCCTGCCCCATCTGACAGCGAGATAGTGGGCCAGGGTTCGAGACAGCGGGCCAAGGTTCGTTGAGAAGGGAAACGACTTTGCAGGGTGGCCGATCGATCCGAATGTGTGCTGCTCAGATCAATACAGTCACTCGTCACAACAGGTAAGAGGGGGTGCCACGTCGAGTTCAGCAGCTACCAGCTTTACGCCATCACGTATCTGGTTGGCACCACGCCGAAAGGCCTGTCCATCTTTAGAAATGGAAATGCCATGTGTGAGAATTATGAGGTTTCTGAGGTTTGGGGATTAGCAGAAGAAGGAACTAATGTCACTGTCCTCTTGGTAGTCTGGAACAATCTGGTCTGAAGTTCCCATTTCTGAGTCAACGTATCCAGGTTCCAAGACAGACTCAAACCAGGGATGGAGTAAGATCTCCGGGGCAGTGAGTCTCTCGGAGGGCTCCCGTCTCAGGAGGCTGCGAATGAGGCACCTGGCTTTGGGGGAAATGTGGTCAGGAATGCAGAACTGTCCACGTCGGATTTTGGAGAAGAGGGCACTGGGATCTGAGTCATGGAAGGGGTATCGTCCCACCAAAAGGGTGTAGAGCATCACCCCTAGGCTCCAAACGTCTGCCGCCTTTCCGGAGTAGGTCCCCGTGGTGTTCAGAATCTCAGGGCTCACGTAGGCCGGGCAGCCGTGCTTGTCTGACAGAGCATCGTCTTCCCCCTTGATTATGTGTGTGTCTTCTAGACTTTCCAGTCTGAGCTGGCTTCTGCAGGAGAGGAAACAAGCTATTACTTCCAGATCGGCTGCTATGAAAAACAAAGCCTCCTCTATAACAGCACCCACAGGCACTAAAAGCAAAGGCCCAAGGAATGCCATTTACCCCTCCATCCAGTAAGCAGGGCCCTGCAACCACCCAGGACTCAGGATTTCACAAACCAATACAAACTGCAATAAACATTCGCAAAGTATCAAGAGCGCCTGGGGCGGAGGGTATGATGCAAAGCCCCAAATACTATTCATTAGGCTAGAGCTTAGAAGAGATATCCTAATAGGGTTACACAACTTACAAAGTTCACATTGCAGAAGTGGGAGCTTGTCTCAGGGGAATGCTGACATTTTTCTACAGAAGCTGTCAGGGAAGAACAGTATATCCCTCCTTCTGGGGCGGTGGGGGGGGAGAGGGGGGGCTGAGCATCCTACAGGCCCATCTTCTTCTCGTGCCACTGACTGCTGCACTGCTGGGGCTACATGGGCCCGCCTTCTGCATTACAGAACTCGAGGCCCAGAGTCAAGGCTATCATGCTCACGTTGTCAGCACTCCTGCTCACGCCTGCGTGATAGACACACACAGGGAACTCTGTCTACCTGGGCCCAGGGCGCGATAACCGTGACGGGAAAGGTGCCAGGAATGTTAATTACATTTATTGGGGTGTTTCATTGCAAAGAACACTTAGCCGGGACCTGGAGGTTATACGGGCAATCAGAAGTGGCTGGTGGATTTGAAGGATGCGGGGCCTCAGAACATCCGTACCCACGGATGGCACATCAACACCTGAACCTATTTCTTCTACATAAGGGTTTATCTTTCACATGGGGAGTTATCCCCTACATGGGGGGGTTATCTCCTACATGGGGGTTTATCTTCTACATGGGGGGGGTTATCTCCTGCATGGGGGGCTTTATCCCCTACATGGGGGGGTATCTCCTACATGGGGGGTTATCTTCTACATGGGGGGGTTTATCTCCTTCATGGGGGGGCTTATCTTCTATATGGGGCTCTGAAAAAAATCTTTAGGCAGAGGCTCTCTTCTGAAGCTGCAGGTGCCTCCTTATTCAGACGCAGCTACCCATAGGTCATGGGTCCCCCAAAGCCCAGAGCCACATGGGGAACCTCCATCATCTGGTGGCAGACCGTGCCCCTCCCTGCTTCTCTGAAATAGCCCTGTTTCAGTAAGTCACTTGTTGTGAAGTCAAAGGCAAACATTTGGTGCTGGCTAATGGGTCAATTTCTTTTCCTCTCAAAGGTCTGGTTGTGTTTTTTTTTTTTTTTTCTTCCTGCCTTCCTGTTCCCTGGAGTGTAGTATACATGTGCTAACTTCGTATGTCCTCAGCCTGACCTCCCCGTCGTTATGTAAAATACCCATTGGTTCTGTAAACGGAAAATATGACTCAACCCACACTGTCTGCCCCTGATTGGCTGCTGTAGTACTAAAACCCTGCACCTGTGCTGGTTCCCCGGCTAGCGTCAGCCTGCCATTGCTTAACCCTCGGGTTGCCAAACCCCGTGCACATGACATTCGCCTGTGCAATGCGGATTTCAAAAGCTAGTAAAGGAGGTGTGTAAGGCATGTTTCAGAAAATACATCAACATATCAAAGGAGCATGTTCCAGGAATTGGAAACTTCTCCATTGCAAATACTTTGCTTTTCTTTGCTAATCAGTTATGTTCCAATAAGTTTTGCAAGGTCAGATATAAAGCTATGCTTTATGGCAACTCAACCCTGTACTCTTTCCTACGGATCTGGAGGCAAGGGTAAAAATGCACAGCTGGGGACAGCCCTCCCCCCCCCCCCGCCCACAAATAACTGCAACAAAATAATGCACACCCCTCCACAATTCTACAGGGGGTTTTCGCTCCTTATCTTTCCAGAAGGGATACGGCCCACCTCTTAAAGTCAAGTAAGGTCTATTCCCCGCAGCTTCCCGAATTCCCTTGCCTGAAACCTCAACTCTGAATCCTAGAGTCTCGTTATTCTCTTATCAAGCTCATCTTGTCCTTTATGAGGGAAAGTCACCATCTATATTTAGGAACCAATTCCAGCCAACATCCATTTATTATTCAATGTGGCTACTTTCTCAAGATGTATCCAAACAAGAGGTCTGAAAAGTCATCAGAGAATGTGAAGAGCAGTACTGGGGGTCAGCCCGAAGTGGAACAGGAGTAGGGTACAAAGGAGGAGAGCAGAATAGGGCAAATCTAACAGTTTAGGTCTGTCATACTTTTTAAGTACAAAAAAAAAAAAAAATTTTAAAACCTCCCCGCTTGGTAGAAGCCAGGATTTGAAAACTTCCTTTAGGAGTCAATGCGGTGAGGACAGACTGACCATCTGTTACCCGAGAAGAACTGACCTTTCTGATAACAATGGGGATAAACTTGATCCTGGAGTGGAAGTGGGGAGGGCATCCTGTCATCATGTGACATCCCACAGAAAGAAGCACCAAGGTGTCCCGGGGCCACATCCACGACAGTGCAGAATAAGCCATCCTTGGCCGTGGCTCCTGGGGAGCGGCCTTTCTAAATACTCATTCTGGGACAACTGAGCCCTCAGCTCTGATGCGAACCAACACTCTGTACCTAACCGCTTAACCTGCCCCGCAAGGCCACAGGAGTTGCTGCGGAGGCTGCTCACCTCTCCTCCGTGGAGAAGACGAATTTCCTAAGTTTCAGGTCCCCGAGCACGATGGCCGACTGATGGCAGTGGGCAACGGCGGAAACAATCTGCTTGAAGAGCCGGGCAGCCTCCTCTTCCCGCAGCCTCTTCCGGCTTCGCACATAGGAGTGCATGTCCCCAAAGTCCTTCTCAAAGAAGACATAGGCCTTGGTTTCCCCAAGGATCACTTCCACAATGCCAGTGATGTTCCTGTGTGACGGCAGCTGGATGTAAGGCCTGATTTTGTCCTGGTAGTGTTTAATAGGAAACACCTGCAGAGAGACGGTGACCCCATTTAGGAGGCTAGAAAAGCAGAGGCTGCCTCCTGAATGCCGGACTGCAGCAGCTCTCAGCCTTCGGCCTTGGGTTGACAGTACGGCTCCCTTCATTTATCTCTGCACCACCACCACCACCACCCCACACCTTATGCAAGAAGCCTCAGCTGCCTCTAACACCCCAAACCAGCAACATAGAGGGCTCTGGTCTAGCAGATACCCACTGGGTTACTCTACGGATGGTTTAAAAGAGCTGTCTTCTATATACGTTGCCTCCTTTCACAAGGGCTGAGCCCTAAAGCTGGCACCCTCTGTGGCCCTTCCTTGTTTGCAGGTGGGGGCTGCTGCAAGTAGCTGCAGGAAGCCCCCCCTCCCCTCCCGGGATCTCCAGGAGCTGAAAATGCATGACCCCCTGCAGACCCAAAGCTCTCGCCACAGAGAGCACAGAATGTGGTGACTCTGCAGCCTGCGAGTGGAAGCAGGGGCTGGGGAACATGCAGATCTGTCATTAGTCAGAAGGAACAGATGACTCGCAGAAAGACTGTGACAACAGAGCCTTAAACAACCTGCCTATACAGTCTGACTCAGGTAGAAACGGCCTTGAGTTAAAATTAGCACAGGATATGGGATGTTCTGTATGGTTTTTACATTTGTTTGTTTATCTCCAGCACCACCCCACCCCGAGGTGGGGGGGGGGCACACAGCTCCCACCCTCCACCTTCACCAGGGAAATGGGTAGTCTCTCCTCTCAGAAACTAGCTGGTCTCTTTAAGGGCCTTTTGTTTAATCCGGTTACTCATATCCTAGACTCAACTGGAAACGGTGACACATGGGCTGTCACCATCTGGATTCAGCTATTATCTGCTCAGAGGAACTGGAAGGGGTTGCACAATGGCCAGACCCACCCCACCTCTGAGGCCTGGCTGCCCCGGCCCCGGCTAGATGAATCTCTCGGCCGCCCCCCCCCCACCGCGCCCCGCCCCCCCCCCACATCTTCCCCAAACCGCTCCGAGCCCCGGCGCCCCAGCGCCCGGGAAGAAAGGATTCCCCCCCGCCCCCCGCCCCTGTGCACCCGGCTGGAGCCCGCCTTGGAAATTTCATTCCTGTCGGACAGTAGGTGGCAGCAGCAAGCCTAGGGAGGGGGAGGCGGGTGGAGTTCAGGTGAGTTGCGGAAAACCCGAGAGCCACTTTAACGGAGGGGTGACCCTGTCTCTCGCTTGAAAAGGAGCAGCCCCGAGGCTCCTGGGGGACGTCGGGGCCGGGCGTGCACGGGCGCCGGGGGTGCACGCGGAGGATCCTGCTCCTAGGAGCCCTATCTCCCCCGGAACGGAATCTCTCATGTTCAAAAGAAAAGTCGCTGGCCGGGAAATAGAGACCTGGGGGGCTGAGAGGGTTCCTAGCCGGTGTGGGCTTCCCAACATTTCTGCGCCGGGCGGACCACCTCAGACCGCTCCCTGGGGAGGACGGGGTTCTCCTCCCGGCGCGGGTTGGAGCCGGGATCCCCAAGACCCGAGCCCGGCACGGTCTTCCCACCCCCCCCCCGCCCCCCTCACCACCCACAGCCTGGCCCAGGTGCCTCGCAGCCCCGGCAACAGCTGCCGGCTGCTCCGAGCTCCACGGAGGCACCCACTGCAGGGCGTCCTTCCAGGACGGGGGGCGGGGGAAGCCGGGGGAATGAGAGCAGGGGAATGGCATGGCCCTGGGATCCATGTCAACTCCACAACTTATTTGGGACGCCGTGCGCTACGCCGGGCGCGAAGGGCAGATCACGGAGAACGGCCACTGAGCACCCGCCGCGCTTCCTCTTGCCCGCCGAGCCCCCGCCGCGCCTCTCCAGCCGAAATCCCCCAAGGGGTGGACGAAGCTGGCCCAAAGCCCGCTGCCACGCTCAAGTCGCCGCAGGTGGCCCCGGAGGCCCCCGGCGCCGGCGGGCGAGACCCCGAGCACCTGGGCGCGCCCCCGCGCCCCCGCGCCGCCCGCGGGCCCCGACCCCCCGGCGCCTACCTTGCAGCGCAGCTCCCGGCCGGTGTGGATGCACAGCGCCCGGGACACATGCTCGCGCTCCGCCAGGGGCAGCAGCAGGTAGTCGGCGATGCGGCTGGGCCCCGGCGCGCTCCCGCAGCCGCCGCCGGCTCCCGGAACGGCGGGCGGCGGCTGCGGGCTGCAGGGCGAGCCGGGGGGGCTGAGGTAGTCCGGGGGGCTCGAGCACTCGGAGAGGCGCGGGCACTTGGCCGCCACGGCCGCCGCGTCGTCCGCGTCCAGCAGGCGTTTGGCCGGGGCGCCCCGGGCGGCCGGGAGCAGCAGGGCCGGGCCGCGGGGCTGCGAGGCGCCGCTCATGGCAGAGCGCACGGGACCGACCCGCATCCCGTCCCGGGCCGGGCCGGGCCGGGCTCGGCGCGGGCGCCGCGACCTCCTCCAGCCGGCGGGGTGGGCTTTGCAGACGGAGCTCGGCTCGGGCCCCCGGGGGGCAAGGCGGGAGCGGCTCCCGGGAGCGGGCGCTGCACGCGGGAAGCACGCCGGCCGCGCGTCCGGGGGCGGGAGGCAGAGGCCGGCTGCGGTCCCGGGACCTCGGCGGGCAGCGGCGCGGGGCGCCTGGCCGGGGGCGGCCGCCGCTATTGTTGTCGAGGCCGCCGACAGTCCCGGAGGCGGAGGCGGCGGCGGCGGCGGCGGCGGCGCCGGGTGTTGCCGACGTCCCGAGCCGCGAGCGCAAGATTCCGCAGGCTCGGCGGAGCCGCGGGGCCGATGCGCTTCCCCGAGCCCGAGCAACTTTTCCGCGGCGCTCGCGTCCTGCGCGCCCCGGGGCTCCCGGCGGGCGTGTGAGCGAGCCCGACGCGCTCGGAGAGCGGCGGAGCGTGAGTGAGCGAGTGAGTGTGTGCGCCGCCGCGATCCCGGCCAGTGCACTCCTCCTTCTCCTTTTCCTCCACCTCCTCCGCCTCTCGGTGACTCACGCTGTATACACACACACACTCACAGGCCGGGCTGTGTAAACAGTTGGGAAGCCGGGTTGAGCAATGAGGTGGCTGCGACGACTCGGGCCCCGCCGCCCGGCGAGCAGTCCCCGAAGCGGAGGGAGGGGGCGGGGGCCGGGGGGCGGGGAGAGGAGGTGGGGCCGCGCCGGCGGGGGCACCGGGGGCGGCCCGGAGGCCGGGGATGCTCGCGGCTGCGCGCGCTCCGGCGCAGGTGGTGCGCCCGAGCCGGCCGGGACGCGCGCACACGCCCCCCGGGCTGGGACGGGCCGGAGGCGGCGCGCGCCCTCCCGCAGGCCGGCGGCTCGGCTCCAGCGGCCGGGGGAGGGGGCGGGGGGAAAGTTCCCGTGACGTCAGGGTCCCGGGGCAGCGGGCGGGGGCGGGGCCCGCGGGGAGAGGCGGCCGCCGATTGGTGCGCGCTCCCCATTCACCCCGAGCACAATGGGCTGCGGGCGGGCGCGCGCGCCACGGGGCTCGGCGGGGCGCGGGCTGCGGCGGGACGGTGGCGCCGCTCGCCCCGGGGATCGCTCCACCGCCCCGCGCCTGGAGACCTCGGACTGCGGCCGTGGGCGCCTCCCGGGCCCGGCTGCAGCCGGAGGAAGGGAGGGTAGGGACGGTGATGCATTCCAGAATCAGTCATTCACCCCACGCGGTAGTTCCGGGGAAGACCTGTGCGTGGTAGTGGATGTGGCTTTTTTTCCCCCCCCTTTTCCTTCCCCCTCCCAGCTCTAATCCCCAGCGTCTGTTCGCTTCCACAAATAGAACCTTCTGTTGGATGAAATAAAAGCAAACACGGGGCCTTCTGCGCTGCCTCCACCTCCACGCCCCTCCCGCGCCTGCCGCCCTCCCGCATTGCACGGAAATAGCTTCTCCAGGCTCCCCGGCCGCCCCTTCGCGGTGACTCGCAGAAAGAGCTTCCTGAGCCCGGGGCCGGTGGGAAACAAAGGATGTGGGGAGCTGGCGGAAGGGGCCCACGTGGCTGCCGCCGGATTGCTGCCCCCTCCCCGGCCTCCGCACGCGCGGCAGGGTCTGGGGCCCCGGGGCCAGCCCCGGCTCCGTGGGGGGCGGGCAGGGGAGTACGAGGCACCCCGGGCAGCGCCTGTGATGCTGCCTACACCCGGGCGCCCCTGCCAGCTTGTGTGCGTACATTCGTGCAACGTGAGTTGGGTGAGCATGAAATGTGTGCCAGACCCTGCAGCGGAAAACCTCCCCTGGGAAAGGAACTTAAAAATCTGTCCTTTTTCTTGAGAGAGCTGGGTCAGTTTGAAGTCTCGGGACACCCAACATAGGTAACTATTGCAGAGAGCCTCTTCCCCTCCTGCTAAACACTGAATTTTCTAGAAGGAGGTTGAGCCCCAAGGATAAGTCCCTCTTACGTCTTCAGTCTCCATGTATTCCACAAACACTAATTATGCATCTACTGAAGGCCAGATGCTGGGGATTAGAAGATGAAAATGTGAATAATAATTGCTAACATTAGTTGAGGACTATGACATGTCAGGCACTGTTCTCAGCACTTTACACGTAATACTTCGCTTTGGTTTTACAAGCAGCCTGTGGGGTTGTTTTGTTTTGTTTTGTTTTTTGTTTTTGCCCCGTTTCATGGAAGAAGACTTCAGAGATGTACGTTCCTTGCTGAAGTCCAATAGCTAGTGAGTAGCGGAGCTTTCAGGCTCTTAAGCACTCTTGGGGACTCAAGGGAGAGATTAGAGTCTGTTTGGGAGAAAAGAGGGCTAGGGAGGAGTGCCAGCTAGAAGGCGGCATTTGACCTGGGGGATGTGTGGGATTGTGAGATCTTTGCTGGGGGGAGTTGGGGGAGGGGGGATGAATGGTGGGTAGCAGGGGAAGCAAGGTTGGCTCAGGCCAAAGGGCTTGCAAGGTTGGTGGGAGGTTGGTGGTGAGCCTGCAAGGTTGCAGGCTCACCTGCAGAAGTCGTGAAGGACTCCATTGGCATGCCGGAAGGGTGCATTCGGTCCTGTGGCCAGGCCAGAGCCTACCTGAGGTTTGCCTGCTTTCAGGGTATTCTGTGCCAGTATTTAAGATCCACTGAGCTGCCAGCTGGACATCTGCACTCAGATGGCAAACCCAACATGAGCCATCAGCACCTCCATCCCAGGGGTACACTCTCCTCACTGTCTTCCGAGACAAAGGCATCACCACCACCCACCCCACCCACCCTCCCGGCACTCCTTTCCCCTTGAATCTGCCCTTTTCCCATTCCCCACAGCCAGTCTCTGGGGCCATCCTAGACCTCTCAGAGCCATTCCCCTGTCCTCTCTGCCCGGCTCTCTGGGGCTGCCCCTGGTAAACTGTTTCCCATGCTCTCTTGCCCACTGGCTTCCAGCCTAGTTTCCCAGTGGAAGGCCCTAGAGGGAGATGGGAAGGTGGGGAGTTGAGACTGCTTCCCTTTCTCCCTGCTTGGGGCACTGGGGCTGGGGCTCTTCTGTGGCTCCAGCCCCGACTATTGGGACGCTGTGAGGCCAGATTCCCTCTTCTGGACCCAAGGATTGATTCCTCCAGTTGCCGAGATTGCATTTTGGGAGTCCTTTTTGAAAATTGCCTTGATGGAGAAGAGCTGCCCAGTCCGAGGTCACACTCCCTTCCCAGGAGGTCTGTATCCAGCGGCAGGTGATCATCCGGTGGCTGGATGATAACGGGTCCAGCTTCCCTGTCCCAGAGCCCTCACCCCTCCTTGGAATTTGAAAGGCATCTCAGCTTCAGACCTCCCATCTAGGCGCACCTAAGGCCATCTTTTTTTTTTTTTTTTTTTTTATTCATGAGAGACACAGATAGAGAGGCAGAAACACAGGCAGAAGGAGAAGCAGGCTCCATGCAGGGAGCCCAACGTGGGACTCGATCCCAGGACTCCAGGATCACGCCTTGGGCCAAAGGCGTCCCACCTGATGTCATCCTTGAGACTGCACTGCACTCAGCCCAGCTCTTACCCCTGCCCAATCCTCTTCATTGACTGCACTGCACTCAGCCCAGCTCTTACCCCTGCCCAATCCTCTTCATTCCCCTCCCTTCCAGAGCATTCCCTGATAAGCCCCCCTGCAGGCTAGTCTCCATCTCTGACTCTGCTTCTTCAGGAACCCAACCTTGGCGCCCCTCCCTCTTCACAATCCTGGTTTACTATAGGGACTCTGGGTCCTGGGATCAAAGGACACCATTTTCATCCCTCCAGCTTTGGGGTGGGGGGGGGTGGCAGCAGCTTCCTGAGATTGCTAATCTCTGGGTTGCCTCCCCACCCCCCCAACACAGACAAACCATGTTGTTCTGTTTTGTTTCTGTTCTCCCCTTACTTTTATAACTAATTCTCCACTGCTCATCTGTTTCGTGGAACCTCCTGGCCTGTTGTACCCCCATGGAGATAAACCCCATACTTTCCCCACATCCATCCCCTCCCCTCCACTCTCAGGATCTTCAGGCAGGACCTTCCCCTGGATTTCTGCAGTAAGCTGCCTACTTACTGGGTCCTTCCTGGATGAGGAGATAAAGGACACATTTTGTTTTGTAGACCACTGTATCAGGACCTGACAGGCACGCTGGCAGAGTGCGTGCTCACTGTTTGTCGAAGAATTGAAGCTGCCTACTTACTGGGTCCTTCATTCAATTCTTCGACAAACAGTGAGCACCCACTCTGCCAGCGTGCCTGTCAGGTCCTGATACAGTGGTCTACAAAACAATATGTGTCCTTTATCTCCTCATCCATTCCCTGCACACCTACCAGAGTACTTTCCCTAATATTTGAATTTGATCATATCAGGCCCTGGCCTAAAACTTTGCAGGGACCCCCCAGATAAAAGCCAAAGACCGTAGTGTGCAAATGGGCCCCATTTCCCCTTCCAGCCACACCTTTTTTGTCTCCTTACCTTACCTCCACTCTCCCCTTGTCTGCTCCTGCCAGGGTCCCAAACAGGCCCTGCAGATTCCTACCTCTGCACTTGTGCCTGTGCCGGTTCCTCTCACTAAATTCCTCCACGGCCCCTGCCAATCTGAGAAGTTTCTATTCATCCTTCAAAACCCCACTCCAATTTCCCTCAGGACCACAGTCAGATTTGAAGGTCCTCCTGGGTGCTGTTGTGTCCCCCATCCAGCCTGCTTTCATGGCACTTTCCACTTGCAACTGTGTTCCCAGGTGGCAGGGACCGTGTTCTATCGGGCAGTAGATCTCCAGTCCGCAGCCCAGTGTCCGTTGTAAAGGAGGCGTTGAGTAAGCGTCAACCAGATAACCGTACTCAAGGGCAGAGGGTCACCCACAGGGAAGGTGACGTGGTGGAGAACAGGCTTTTGGGCAGAGATGGGGGCTGCGGAGTAGGGCTCAGGTTTCAGAGTTGAATGCCCAGCCCTGGAAAGCAACAGGATGTGGTGGTTGGAGGGGAAAAGGGGGGGCTTAACCTTTCGGGGCCTCCAGCCCATATGGCTG